CCAAGGAAACAGTTGAATCTACCTTAAACAATGTCAGATTTTCCCGCGTGCTTTTGATCAGGCATCAGAAGACATGGCACCCACCAAGCAAAAACTTTTGTCATATCAAGTTCATTGTGCAAAATATTCTCAACTCTCTCACGGGATATGTAGCAACCGTGCCAGCATGAATGTCCTTGGGGGATAAATCCTTTTTTAGCAGGTACCACGAGGGACGATGGAGTGAGGAGGCACGGGGGAGTAATCGATAGCGGCTTGGATTGAGGAGAGCCGAGTTCGAATTCCAGTCGAATCCATTACATTCACTTACGTGAGAAAGTTATGGTAAATAGCAGGACAGACTGGGTTCTATAGCCTTGGATGGCAACTGGTTTACCGCAGAAAGAAATGGCAACCTACTGCAGAAAAAATCTGCCTCGTCAGTCATATATCGAAAAATAAATGATTGCCTAAGCTTGTATCACGCATGGCACATAACTGACTGACCACGATGCCAAATTTTGTCCATTTCCAAGAAAAGTTGCTACTACTTACATTTGAAGTCTTCTTTCAACTGTCAGATGTCAGTTTATCCGGAAAGAAACAATGCAGTTATTAATGAGAAGAGCTGAAATTAATGCATGCAAAATTTCACAGCTCTAGTATCACTTCTTCATAGTCAGCCCATGAACTTTTCAGGCCACCTATATATATATATATATATATATATATATATATATATATATATATATATATATATCGATAATATTAGTGATCAATATATATATATATATATATATATATATATATATATATCGTAATATATATATATATATATATATCGATAATAGTAGTGGTCAGTATATATATATATATATATATATATATACCGTATACATATATATCGTATATATATATATATATATATATATATCGTATATATATATATCGATAATATTAGTGGTCAATATATATATATATATATATATATATATATATATATATATATATATATATATATATATTCATACATATTTCATTAAATAATATAGACAAGTGTTGTCTATTTATTTTATGTAAACTCTTTTCATAACGTCTGATAAGCTTAATAACATTATCATTAAACGAAGATAGAAAATCACACTATTGATCCATATTTTTTAATCCAATCTAAGATTTCGGCTTACATAAGCCATTATCAAAGATGTCAATTACTGTACAATATATTAAGCAATATACGGACAACACTTGTCGATATTATTTTATGAATGAAAAAATGCTGCCTACATACACACACACACACATATATATATATATATATATATATATATATATATATATATATATATATATAAATCCCCAAGAGGATAGAATCCAGGTAGAGCTCAATGTCCAGGACAGAGTAAGAATATAATATAAAAAGCTCAAACACTAATATTCCATGGATATAATTTATTACATTGGAATCGTAATCACGATCCAATTCATCAGACCTACAAATTCAAAAATATATGTCTTAAATATACATATCGAATATTTTCACACACACACACACACACACACACACACACACACACACACACACATATATATATATATATATACAGCGGAATGAAAAGATAGGCAAACTATGGAGGACACGAAGTGACACAATTTACTTAGTAATTAAGTTATTTTACATTGAGATTAATTCATGTGTTTATATATTTTAAACAACATGAGGTTATGAACTGAACCGTTTTCTTTTAATTTTTTAACATTTTTGTCGTGATGTGTGTTTAGCTTTGGAAAATAATAATTGTACATTTAAGCGAAATCCTTCTCGTCTCAGAACGCTTGAAATTTTTATATTTGCTCTGTTTCCTATCCAAACGTAAACAAAGCAATTTCTAAAGAACTAATATATTTTTTTTAAATTCATTAATCCGACAGATTTTAACACTTTAAAAGGGGAAGATGATTCGAATCTGAATACAGCAGCAATTAGCTAAGTGACAAATTTTATAAAGGGTGTTCCAATAACATTGGACCGATTTTAAATGTGAATTCAGTTTAAGCGTCTAATGATTTTTTCTTTTTCTTTCAGATTTGGCGGACATTTGGGCGATATTATTTTTCACACATAATTGCTATGACTTAAATAACATGATCCAATAGCGAAATAAATAAATTTTCACCAATAACACTGAGTTATTTACTGATGACTTTGATCCGTCTTAATAAAACACCCTTATATATAATCCGTTTTAATGACACACCCTTATTTGTATTAAACCATTAAACCTACTGTATATATATATATATATATATATATATATATATATTTATTAAAGACATTTTTATGTTTAACGTTCTTTTTTATAGATACAAGTATTTAAGTAAATGCTCTGTTTATAATAAACAGTATAAAAATGTCTTTAATAAATAAATTGTCGGACTTTGTCCATTTCTTAATATATATATATATATATATATCGTGAGAGAGAGAGAGAGAAGGACAGAGAAAGAGAGAAAGGTACCTCCACTAATTCACTGAAAGAAAGAAGCATACCATGATGAAAAAATGCCACAAACTTGATAAAACTTGATAGTTTTATCGTCAAATTCATGTTATTATTAACAGGAAAGACCAAGGATTTTTTTTTATTATTTAATTATATTTTTTAATCGTTTTTAGAATCTTGGATAAAGTTTTGTTTTCCTTGCGTCAGCGGAGAAAACAAAGATTAGTATAGAAAATTTTAGCGTCTGTTTTTTTTTTTTTTTTTTTTTTTCGGTGAAAAACACATTGATTTGGAAATTCTTGTAAAAATCAAGTAATTCTCGGATTTTAATGAAACTTTGAGGTCTTATTCACAAATGAGTGAAATTAGTTTTGAAATGTCTTTTTTAGAAAATCTTTGTTTACATACTTTTTTTACATTTGGTTTTAAGAAATTTCGAGAAATTAAATTTTGACTCACTTAATGTTTATATTAGTAAAAGTAGAACTCCTCAGAGAATTTAAATCATCAATTTTGTTTTTGTAGAACAGAAACACCAGTATCCGAAAATTTGCTCTGAATCGTAAAATAAAAAATGCAATAAAATTAAGACATTATTTAATTAGAAAAGCTTTCACTTGCTTTTATGAATAAGATATATTGAAGACTATTGTCTTCAGAAAAAATTCGATAAATAATGAATTTTTACAAGAATAGTTTTCATTTTCTTTTTAAATTTAATAATTTCTAAAGATTCAAATTCTTTAAATTTCTGCATTACATTGATCCCGTTTGGTGATATTTTTATTAAGTAAAACCTATATTTACTAATCATAAATGGAAAAGCTTAGTACAAATCATCAAACATATTTTTAAAAGAATTTTGATTTTTTTTTCATGTGTATAAAGGTGCCGTTTTTTGTAGATACGGATATACATACACGACATTATCAGAAAATAAGAGCGATAACTATAGTAAATTTAAAGACAAAGTATCTAAAAATGAATAAAACATTAGATTATTGAGAATATTTGCCTAATTTTTTAAGATTACTGAGTACTTAAAACCTATATAAAAAGGTGCCCATTCTAAATAAGTTAATATTCCTCAAAAAGCTGTTCTGAAAAGTATATTTTATTTTTGAAACACTTTTTTGTAATAAAGAAAATTACATTGCGATGAACTAGGGCTAAAAATGGCGATGGAATCTCCTTCCAGTCAATTTAAATTAGCTTTGAAATAGAGCAAAATATTTTGCTTATTGGAAATATTAAATTGAATCTGTTAGCTTGGAATTAAAACTAAATAAAAGCTTTAAGAAAGTTTTTCAGTTTCAAAAATTCATTTTAAGCTTTAGGCATCGCTGATTTGTGTAGATACATCTATATCTATCTATCTATCTATCTATCTATCTATCTATCTATCTATCTATCTATCTCTCTCTCTCTCTATATATATATATATATATATATATATATATATATATATACATGCAAGTTTCATTGAATATGACTGACAAGGTGCTTTGATTAAGTCTTTTATACAATTTCTCATGTGATCTTATAATTTTTTTTCTTTTCGGTAGATAAATTATATAAAAACTGTTCATTTTTTGTTTTTTTCCGAGCCTTTTGGCTATAGATTTTTAAGGTTGAAATATATTAACTGTTAACAAGAAATAGTTTCTTGCATGTATGTTTTTTTTATATAATATTTTCATTTTCAAAACATGGTCAAGATATTGCGTCCCTGTTCATAGTTGATATCATAGGGTGTTTTTTTTATTTTTTATTAATAAGGCTTCCATTATTTTTAGCCTTTTTCTTTACATGTAGACGATGCTATTATATTTGTGTTATTAACAAGTATGTTACAAATAGGGTCCAGTAGGTCTCCCTGAGTATTTAAATGAAACCTAATTGAGCTATGGTCAGAAATATGTAGTGCGAGTATTACTGTCAAACATGTTGTAGTGTGGCCTATATAATCGTTTACGAATTTTGATTGATCAGGAATACAATTCCTTAATGGGCATTTAAATTCGTAAACAATATTTGTTCTATTTAATTTTGCTCTAAGAGGTGAATTATTATCTTTCGCTATAAGATTGGCGGTTTTAATTTTTTTGTAATAAATAATTAATCTAATTTTTCGCTATTGTCAACTGTTGTTGTGTATTTTTTTATAATGTTCTTAATTCTACTTTCATCTTGTTTGTAATTTTCGTTCATCTGATTTTTACAAAAATATTAATGCTATTGTTTATATTTCTATTCTCGTCGTTGCCATTAGGTACCTTAGACAGAGAAAGCCTAATATGGAAATCCAACAATTGATTAAGAAATCCGTTATTAATAAGCATTTGTTTTACGTTATTTAATTCCTTAAAGAAAAGTGTGCGAGAGGATGAATTCTCGTGCGCTCTCGTGAGGAAACTTTTAATAACACCTATTTTGTATCTAAGAGGGCATTCATTAGAGAAATTAAGATGGCAAGAGTCTTTACTAGCTGGCTTTTTTTATAAACTGAAGTTGTAAATGTATTATTGCTGACATCAATGAGAACATCTAAGACAATAAGTTTATTTCTTTTCACTGAGTTCACATGTAAAATCTAGAACGGAAGTTTGTTGAAATGTAGTTTTCAGATTTTCAATTTCCTCTTTGCTCTCAGCTAAAATAAATATAGAATGTTTGCTTTGTGACTACGAGACCCTGACTCGAATCTCACCATGGTCGATTTGTCAGGAAGGCGACTTGCTGATGTTATCGGACTGGATCGAGGTCGATCCCAGCCTGCGGCACCTTTGGAAAGTGCGTGAAAACCATACCACGGGTTGACCCAAGCCTTGTGCGTGAAATTGGGTGGATGGAACACTTGGGAGCCGTCAATAGCTGTGCTAGCTCGAAGTCACAAGTCATCGTGACCGAGGGTTTGAGTGTGCTGGCCTTGTTCAGATTGTTGATCACGCTAGATAACACGCTTCTCTCCCAAAAACTGTAACTAAGGTCTGCTCAGCATAGTTGCAGTATAAACCACAGGTGCGTTCTGTGGGTGTTGAACGAACACAAATGTGACGGAATGGACGTCTGCAATGGGGATTAACTCGCCGCCCTGGTAGATGGGCACCCTCAGATACATATACACACACACATATATACATATATATATATATATATATATATATATATATATATATATATAAAAAAAAAATTATATATATATATATATATATATATGTGTGAAAAGTGTATATAAATATAAATAAATATATATATATAATTATTTATATATTATATGCAGGTACTGATTAGAAAGCGCTCAATATCAGAGATAGAGCTAACATATTTGGTTGCATAGATGTGAGTTTGTGACCCTGGGTTTCACGCTTTAGCGATCGTCAGACAAACAACCAAATATATATATATATATATATATATATATATATATATATATATATATATATCCTTAAACAAAACGGACACGGACGTCATACCTAAGGAACCTTTCGGCCAACACTTTTTCAAAGGTATTCGTTGGCAATATTAAATATAAATGAATACAAAGACACACTTAACAAAATAAATGAGGAGGGAAAGGTGGAACTCGACTAAAAGACAAATTTTAATTATACAAAATTAAAATTTAAAATTGAACAAGGGGAGATGTAAATAAATAGTTCCACAGGAGTATAAAATGGAAAAAGGGGAACTCACAATTCCTCCAACAGACGTAAGGAGCGATCCTTTTGTTTGCACAGGCTAGGTTCTTGACACTTAATATAAACAGCTCCAGAAACTCGAAGATGGTGTGTTGAGCGAGCATTGTGTAGAATTGAATATATATATATATATATATATATATATATATATATATATATATATATATATATATATATATATATATATATACACACAAGTATAATTATATATTAGACTAGTAGTGGGTAAATTTAGGAATCATGCGTGATAAATACAGGCCTACGTACTGGAGAAAATTGAATCCCAAAAATGGGCTCTCCAGTAGGGTTCGAATCTACTTCCCTCTTTGTCAGAGGAACTATCGTTTAAACCGATGTGCTTTAGACCCTGCGGCCACTGTGAGCGTCAAAACCCAGTGGTGTTCTATTTAACCTTTTAAGGACTGCACACTTCCTCGTTCAATTATACTCGAATGCCCATATCTGTTCAGTTTCGTATCCCAAACTTAAACAAAACACTTTCTAAAGAATTAATGAATTTATTTTTAATCCGTTATTTTTATTACTTCAAACGTTATTTAGAGAATGTTCGTGTTTGAAATAGACGCCCCGTTTTTACAAACACTGGTAAGGCAATTAATAAATAATCACAGACATAAATTCAATTCCCTGTTTTCTTTGCATTTTTTTTATCTTCACTGAGTTAAAACGCAGTGTAATGAAAATCTATTCCCAGTGACTTTTAAACTGAGACGAAGGATTTTTAGTCAACTAAATATTCCAGTGTGGCCATTCTAAATTGTACAATGCTCATTAGTTATAAAGTTACCTTTATTTTGTGTCGTGAAGGAGGAGTTACTGATAAAGGAAGAGAGTGCATGTTCGTTAGATGTAGGTTCTCTTTGCAGAGCAAGAGAGGTTAGTATTTTGCAGTGTTATTCTTATAAAATCCCCGATATCCACATGGTTAGAGTATGAAATCACATTGGGAAAGAGTTGTGGCTGATGTTACTTTTTTTTTTTTTTGTTTAACGCCACTCACTCGCCGTTTCTCAAACCACAGTTCTAAATAACTCCTCACAATTAAAATAATCTATTAAAACCCACACGCATGCGCGCGCACACACACACACACTATCTCTCTCTCTTTCTCACACACACACATATGCAAAAAAAGAGAACGAAATGAATTAAAAAAACAAAAAATAGAGTAAAGAGCATATTAAAAAAAAAGTCAAGCCGCCATACAGTTTACATTAACTTGAAATTTTGGCGGCAAAATCCCTCAAAAGAATTTAAAAAAAGAAGAAAAACATGAAGAGGAAGAGAAAGAAAAAAAATGAAGTGGTGGGGAGGATCTAAAAAAGGTTTGAGTTAGACGACCAACATAAATAAATAAATAAATAAACAACGATTATATTTGGTTAGCGGAAACCTCATCTGTCGCCTGAGGTCGGTCGGAGATTTGTGCGGCTCAGCAGGGATCTAGGCCCGTCTTTAGAACGGATCGGAGCTCTAAGGCTCGCTGCTGTCCGGTTTGTTTAAATGGGCGCTTCATTCAGTATTATGGACGTCCTTCAACGGTTGCTCAATGAAGGAAGAAGCAAACATGGGAGAAATCACCGAAGCCTGCAAGACACAGCAATAGCGACCTGTCTTGGAGATGACAAGGCCCCTACTAAACAGACATGACAGTTGGCACCCGACCGGCAATTCACAAACTGTTGCTACCCTCATTCCATTGTTGTAGGAGGCAAAGCGGAGGCGCGGAGATGGTGTGTCTTGTCTTGTGGGTTGAGGGATAAAAAAGCCGAGTAAACAAACACGAAAATAAATAAATAGAACACGTGTTGCTTGTTTTTCGAAAATTAGTAATCAGTGAGCTGACGAAAAAAAGTACCGAGGGTAGATGGGTAGGGAATTTGGTATGTAAAGTTCCGGCACCTTCTGTGAGCAATTTGACACCTCAAAAGGAAAGAGATGGCGAAAAACGGGACAGGAACTTGATGTGATAGATAGATAGATAGATAGATAGATAGATCTAAAAGACTGGTATAGAAAGAACTGGACAGACTGAGATAGATAGATAGATATATATATATATATATATATATATATATATATATATATATATATATATATATATAGATAGATAGATAGATCGGAATAGATAGGTACATTGGGATATATATATATATATATATATATATATATATATATATATATATATATATATATATATATATATATATTAAAAGACTGGTATAGAAAGAAATGGACAGACTGAGATAGATAGATAGATAGATAGATAGATAGATAGATAGATAGATAGATAGATAGATAGATAGATAGATAGATCTGAAAAGACTGGTATAGAAAGAACTGGACAGACTGAGATATAGATAGATAGATAGATAGATAGATAGATAGATAGATAGATAGATAGATAGATAGATAGGGTGCATTAGGATAGATAGATAGATAGATAGATAGATAGATAGATAGATAAAAGATCGGAATAGATAGGTACATTGAGATAGATAGATAGATAGATAGATAGATAGATAGATAGATAGATAGATAGATAGATAGATAGATCTGAACAGACTGGTATAGAAAGAACTGAACAGACTGAGATAGATAGATAGATAGATAGATAGATAGATAGATAGATAGATAGATAGATCTGAAAAGACTGGTATAGAAAGAACTGGACAGACTGAGATAGATAGATAGATAGATAGATAGATAGATAGATAGATAGATAGGTGCATTAAGATAGATAGATAGATAGATAGATAGATAGATAGATAGATAGATAGATAGATAGATAAAAGATCGGAATAGATAGGTACATTGAGATAGATAGATAGATAGATAGATAGATAGATAGATCTGAACAGATTGGTATAGAAAGAACTGAACAAACTGAGATAGATAGATTCATTATGTATCTTCTCCTAATATACTTGATCTGTACAAGAGTCAGATCAGACTAGAAATAGACTATTGCTGCCATATCCGAGATAGTACGGTTAAATCCTCACGTACCTGCCTTAATAGAGTTCAAAAGTGTCTACATCGCCTTGTGGGTGATGAATTATTTTCCATTCTACAGTGTAAACTACTATGAGAGATCAACCCAGACTTGGAGCCGGCTTATGAACTATACCACAAGGTACCTGTCCTAAACCCACACGTTCCTATTGAAATAAATCACGTAAATCTATTTCTGCTGTTGTCGTATTTCCTTCTTGCAACCATACGCTTGTCTATAACAGCATTAAATGACCCACTGATGTTGATATGCCATAAAACAAAACAACCAACCAACCAACATTCATGAGCTTTTCTGAATACCAAAGAATGCATCAAGTGATGCAAAAAACGTGTGGTGGGAAATGGTGATTGTATTGACTCAGCTGTGACTCAATGAGTTTGTACAGAACGTGTCTTTGCCTGCTTGTCAGAGTTTGTTCTGAAAAGTAACATAGGAATTCATGTGTAACGACATCAGATGAATACAGATGCTAGCGTCAACAGGAAAGCTTGATGCGTACACTGTGACATAAGCAATGTAAGAAAAAGTCTGGTCTCACCAGGGATAGTGTTGCATGGTTGACATCACCGAACGATCTCAGTTCGGCTTTTTCTCATGGCCGGCGATCGCCAATCGTTTCGGTTAGGCAATGAAAAAACTTCAACGCAAAAAATGTGAACTTTATTTTTATTCATCCTGTCGACATAACTAAATATCCTGTGGGAGTCGACCCCACCCTTCATTGGAGAGCCGTTTCAGACAGGAAAGAGAACACGCCCACATCGCTTGACGGTCAAGAAACAACTCACAGAAAAAATTATTCTCTATCTATCATTCACATGCTAGCTCAGCCAATGAAAATCGACTTCCTTATTATGTCTTGCATCTGTCCCCGAAGGCCAACCTCCAGAAGTCGGAACTGAGATACACTTCCTCTAAAAATAAGTCTGTTAAATTATTAATTAAAGATAGGAAAGTCCATAAATAATATAAATTATGAAAACACTGGATGATTCGCTATTTATGCAGATGCTTTTATTCAAATTTCAAATCGACCAATGACATAGCAGTAATTAAGTGGATATATGTATTAAAACATGGTCATAGTGACCTGTTGAATGTGTTGAATGCATTAATATGGAAAAGAAAGGGTATTTTTATCGGGATGATCGTTGGTGTAGACGGGCAGGTCTGCGTATTTAAAAAAAAAACTGCTGATTTTCACGCACCATCATCTCTCGGGTTTACAGAGAATGGGTCATAAAAATAAAAAAAAGCATCCAGTGAGCAGTAATTCTGAGAGTGTGTGTTGGGGGAGGGGAGCCTTGTTGATGAAAGAGGTAGGAGGAGAATAGCTACTCTAGTTCAAGTTGATAGAAAGGCATGAGTAGCGCAAATGACCACTCTTTGCAACGGGTGAGAAAGGAGAGCATCTTGGAACGTAGAACACGTCGAACCTTGAAGCAGATGTACTACAGCAGCAAAAGACTACGCCAGATTCCACTTCTGCCAGATAAAAAAAAAGAGAATGAGGTAACAATTCACTAAACACTGGACAATACAAGATTGTGGAAATTTTGTTTGGTTCAAGTTTGTCTCGATGTTTGTTGGGACATTCGGATGGTAGGTAAAAATTTGGCGTAAACAACATGAAAGTTTTCATTCATTCTACCATTTTGGCTAATGGTGGTGGTATAGTTGTAGTGAGAAATATTTTATTGGCGTACATTGGAACCTAGCTACTAATAATAGATCGTTTCAATAGAGCAGCCTACCGAGGTATTATGTCTGATCACGTGCCTCACTTTATGACGACGGTGCAGCCATCTTCTGACGGCCACTCCCAACAGTGTTAGAAATTAAAAATAGTTGCAGATTGGTTTAGCAATGAGTTATTTTTGTGTGTCAAAGTAGCCTACACAGTCACCGGATCTCAATCCCATAGAGCATGTTCGTGATGTGATGGAAAGTGAAATTTGAATCCTGTATGTGCATGCAACCAATCTATGAGAATTCCAGGGTGTATCAAAATATTTTTACGAACGTCGGGGGCGGGTTCCTGACACCCTGAAAACAGGGTAAAATGTCCACATAAACATATGCTCAAAAGATCATCGTTGTACGTCAACACAGCAACTTATAAGAAATGTTCAAAATGTCCTCCCTTTGCCTCTACACACTGGCGGACCCTTTCAAATATTCCCACACGGTGTCGAATGGTTTTGCAGGCCCCCATGACAAGTTGATGAAGCGTCTTTGCGTTATTAATGTCTGCTGCATAAACCAATCACAGATAATAAAAAAAAAACCAAAGGATTAAGGTCAGGGGGACGTGTAGGCCATGGGACTAGTCCTTCCATACCTATCCATCTTTCATAGTAGATGTTAGCCACTACATCGCGAACAATATGACTAAAATTTGCTGGAGCCACATCATGCATGAACCACATGCGTCTTCATATTAGCAGGGGTATATCCTCTAGCAGGTATTTAGACAGCTCCAGTGGGACGTTCTGGGAGAACATATGAGCCTACCAGACAGTCACCTACAATTCCAGCCCATACATTAATCATAAACTGATACTGGTGTCTAGTCTGTATTGTAGCATGGGGAGTTCGATCCACCTACAAATGTTGGCTGTGTAAATCTGCTATTCCATCTCTTCCAAATGTTTCCTCATCAGTATCTGTCTATATTTCTGAGATGAGGTATTATGTACACTATATACATTATTCGGACTATTGTCCTCATCTTTGTCGCCATATTTATTACAACGTTTCGGCCGTTATACGCTCCGGCCTTCTTCAGGTGGTTGGAATGACTTACTCCCACCAAACGGAAAAAAATGTAAGAATTTTGGAAAAACTAAATAAAAAAATTAATCAAATTTTCCTTGTCTAGGTTTAAAAGAAAGGTTGTTACCCAAATATATATATATATATATATATATATATATATATATATATATATATATATATATATATATATATACACGGCTTGGATTGAGGAATTGAGAGTCCAGTTGGAATTCCAACCGAATTCCTTACATTCATTTACGTGCTAATACCCTTGGGAAAGGTATGAATCCTCTTCTTCTCCCTTCAGCTATGGGTAAATGGAAGGAAGACTGGGTTCTATAGCCTTCTAGGACTCCAGCTGCCATCCAAGGCTTCTAGGAGAAGGACAACTATGAATTCAAAACCTGGCAGGACGATGAGGTTGGTTGCCAGATTTGGTTTGCTTCTGGTAGTTATGACATTTCCAATGTTTGACACACCCTAACCCTCAACAACAGCTCTCTCTCTCTCTCTCTATCTATCTATCTCACACACACACACACACACACACACACACACACACACACACACACACACACCCGCGCGCTCTATGAAAAGAAAAGAATCAACCTTGCACAAATGAAAAGTGCATATTATTTACATTATTCGGACTATTGTCCTCATCTTTGTCGCCATATTTATCACAACGTTTCGGCCGTTGTACGCTCCGGCCTTCTTCAGGTGGTTGGAATTTCGAACTGAACCCTTTATTTCGCTCACTGGGGTAGATTGTTCTAGTTCCACGTGCCATGTTTGATGGGTGTCAGTTATCAGTTATCTCCTGTTAATTTTCCCACAAGGACACATGGCACAGTGGAAAAAGGCGTTGGGTAGATCCAGTGACAGGACCCAAAGAGTGTGAGTTCAATACCCGGTTAAGGCAGTGGAGAACTTTCAGAGCGAAAATTAGCATTGTCACCATATTTATCATAACGTTTCGGCCGTTGTACGCTCCGGCCTTCTTCAGGTGGTTGGAATGTCGAACTGAACCCTTTATTTTGCTCACTGGGGTAGACTGTTCTCGTTCCACGTGCCATGTTTGATTTTCTTTTGTTTATTTATTTAATTAATTTATTTAATTTTTGAAGTTCATGAGTTAACCGTTTTCTTTTAATTTAAATTTTTTTATGATCAAGCATACATATGTTGGCTTGGGAAACGTGCATCGCATATGTATATATTTTCTATGAAATTTCTAGAACATTCAGGCTGGTAAATGTAATTAATACTGTTTAATTAAAAACAGTGCATTTACTTAAGTAAAGTGTATCTATAAAATAACGTATAAACCGAAAATATATGAAATAATTGTCGGACTTAATCCATTTCATGATATGTTGTCATTGTTTACGTTAAGATACGTTTCGTGAACAGATATGGTCGATCGAGAAAAATCGTCGAAGATTGTATATTTATAAACAGTACTTCGAACTTTGCTAACCATACGTTTCTCTGTAGCTCTCAGTTCAAATGACGAATTCTGTATCGGAATACAGGTTCCATTCCTGTCGGAGAACACATATTTTCTACGAAATTTCTCGAACATTCAGGCCGGTAAATGTAATTAATACTGTCTAATTAAAAACAGAGTATTTACTTAAATAATTTGTATCTATAAAAATAACGTATGAACAGAAAACATATTAAATGATTGTCGGACTTAATTCATTTTATGATCTATGAATGTATATTAATATATAGACCCAGTGTTTCATTTATTTAAAACACGATGATTAAATTAGATATTTATAATAATTCGAAGTTACCGAGAACTTTTTCTCAGTACCACACACACACACACACACACATATATATATATATATATATGCACACGTGGAGCCACCCAAATTTGAATTTAATACGGACTTTTTCTACTACATTTTGTATACAATATATTTAGGAGTTAATGTCGAGAGTAACAAAGAGACTATTTTGAAGAAGACGGTGGAAACTAAGTCTTAGAGCACGTAGATTTTCCTGATCAATTTTCTTTATGAAAGATGCACAGCTTAAAACAGGTGTGGCAGATGCATAAATAGATAGACCCAAATAGATTTAGATTGAAACTGACTGAGGTAGAATCATAGGACGTATGTAAAGCAAGAAGGGCCGAGTGAAACAGCGAGTAACCTAACGACGAGCTTGTGTACATGGATGGCAGAACATGAACTGGACGGAATAGTAAAGGACAAACATTGCTTTGAGCTACAACGGATAGGAAGTTGCGGAGAGCCATGAGCACTCACGTCCTGAGGGACATGGCACAAAAAAATGAAGAGACATATTAACAGCTCTTCTGGTGAACAAAGAACCAGGAAATGTGTGCGAATCTTTGTAATAGTCGATACGTCTGCAAGGTGACGGGATAAAATTAAAAAAACGGCATAAGTAGAGAGAGAGAGAGAAGAGAGAGAGAGAAGAAAGAGAGAGAAGAAAGAGAGAAGAGAGAGAGAGAGAGAGAGAAAGCGAATGTGTAGAAAAAGAAAAAAACGGAATTTCTTTCTGGATGACTGACGTGGTAGGGTGATACAGACGGAATGCAAAATGAAACCGATGTTTTAGACCTGATACCTCAGAACTATTTGCCCAATCACGCGGAAGGTACACGGTGTTGGCGTTTTCCGATGAGACACAACGGGCGGAGTGTAAGGGAGATATAGGCAGGAGGAGACCTATAGAGAAATCGGGAAGTGGATCATTTGTTGACACGACATACAAAAGTAATTCAACCATCTTTGAAGTGATCCCTTTTCTTTGCTCCGTTTTTTTTTTGTTTAAGTGACCGGCCGATTGTACATGAAATAAGGGACAAGCCACTTAAACTGGACACACGAATGAGAAACGAGATCCGGACTTGAGCGCCGCTCTTTGGGTGGCCAGATGTCGTGACTACCCGATTGGCCGAACAATTCTTTTGACAGTTCTGACTGGCTAGTGTCTTTTCGTGAAGAACAGGCATTTCCAGGCTACCAGTTCTGTGTTTGGCTAGTGCGATAGAGCGTTGGATTGTCATTTAAGAGACTTCAGGTTTCATCTTAGATATTGGATTTTTCATATCCCGTATTTTATACTTCTTAGTTTGGTTAAAGAAACACTTTTCTTCATTGTGGTCAGTCTCTAGTAAGTGCAAAATACATGTTATATATATATATATATATATATATATATATAGTATATCTCTAGTAATTGCAAAATACATGTTATATATATATATATATATATATATATATATATATATATATATATATATATAAAAAAAAAGAGGTTATAGTTGTTCCAACGAGAGAAAAGTGTATATATTAAAAGAAGATAGAAACCGCAAACGTTTTTGGTTATAATGTGGATTTAAAAAAAAAAATTATTATGCTTTATATTCCATAATTTTGCCATAATAGTATGGAAAATAAAGCATAATATATATATATATATATATTTTAAATCCACATTACAATCAAAAACGTCTGCGGTTTCTTTCTTGTTTTTATTTTTTAACTAGAAAAGGTTATATGTGGAAGGTGTAAATGGCAAGTTTAGGAGAAAAAATAATTTGTGTTTATTCTTTTCCTTACGAAAAATAAGTAAAACACTTTTTGTTTGAATCAGTCAGTTATGTGCCATGCGTGATACACACTTATGCGATCATGTATCTTTTTATACATGACTGACAAGGCAGATTTTTTCCTGCAGTAGATTGCCATTTCTTTCTGCGGTAGACTAGCTGCCATCCAAGGCTACAGAACCAGGTTTATCCTGCTATTTACCCATAGCTGGGGTGTGAGAAAAAAAAAGGATTCATATTTTTCCTAAAGGTATTAGCACATAAGTGAATGTAATGGATCCGAATGGAACTCGACTCACCGATTCCTCAATCCGAGTCGCTATTTATTACTTCACCAACAAATTCTTTTTTTCCCCTTCCTTAAAAAGTGTTGTATTTTTGAGTGTATTCGAATATATATGAATTTTGGTCTGCATAAGTCTAATTATGAACTTACTGTTTCTTTGTTTTTGTTTTGCCTTTGATTCACACACGCGCATGCGCAGACACATCGCACAATTTGTCGTCATTTGTCTTTTGTTTTTCTAGAATCGAACACATCAGTTTAATGTATGATAACATGTCGGAAAAGAAACTGGTCACGACAACTATATCTCTGAATATCAGAGAAAGACTAGTAAATGCATTTGTAGAAACATTGATCCAATCAGTAATATAAAGGTCATAGACCGAATAATTTATAAAAATAGTTGTAATAGTTCGTCTTAGATAGGTAATGCTCAGAAGGCCAAATATTACATGTGTTGAAACGGTAAACCAATCAGCAAAATAAAGGTAATATGTCGAATAATTTAAGGAAAAATATCAATTTCTTTCGCAGAACTTCAAATAATATTTAAGAAAATGTTTAATAAAAATATATGTGTGTTTTTACCTGCGAGTGCATCAGTAGTACGATATATACAGTGTAATGTCAAAAGTACGCAGGTGTAGGCTTTAAGAAAGCTTTAGTCAACCGAGAATACAAGGTTAGTGTATAGTGTCCTTTTCTAGTCCTAATAAATACAAATAGCTCTCTGAAAGAGACTAACAAAACAAGGGGAGATCACTCTTGATTATTCATAACAGGCAGTTCATATTTCGTATACATTTACTCCGAGTGCAAATAAGTACATGAGGACCGTTATTAACAAAAAAAATTATTATTATTTAACAAAAAACCCAGATGTTTTAATGCGTTATAACAAATCAATGTTACTTACCCTTTTTTATTTACTACGACTATTCGTTCGAGAATCTATATTTTAATTCCATCAGAAGCAATAAACATATTAAAATTACGCTAAATGTTTCCGAAATCACAAGTGCACCTTCAATGGTATCATAAAGCCCTTAATGTTTAATTATTTTAAATATGTAACATTATTTTAAATATATATTTTTTGATATTTGTTATTACTATTCTAATATTTTAAATATGTATATTAAGCCAGTATAACAGGGTTTCAGTTCATTCAAAACCTTGACTATTGCTTTACATAGTGCAAAATTTCCCAGCGCTTTGTTTGGAACACTAGAGACGAAATACATTGAGTAAAACGCACACCAGATGCCCACACCATATATAAAAATAGTGCCCCCTAATTTCGGCCTTGGAAAATCACTATAAAAATAGATGACATAAATAAATGACAAACCAGTTTATATTCAGTATCTGTCTACACTTCTGAGATGAGGTATTATGTACATTATTTACATTATCCCGACTATTGTCCTCATCTTTGTCGCCCTATTTATTACAACGTTTCAGCCGTTGTACGTTTCGGCCTTCTTCAGGTGAACCCTTTATTTCACTCACCGGGGTAGACGGTTCTAGTTCGACGTGCCATGTTTAATGAATGTCAGTTAGCAGTTATCTCCTGTTAATTTCCCTCTGAAAGTTCTCCACTGCCTTAACCGAATATTGAACTCACACTCTTTGGGTCCTGTCACTGGATCTAACCAACGCCTTTATCCATGTGTCCTTGAGGACAGTTTATATTCATTTTCCATAAAATTGTTTTAACGATATATGCTGCATATGACAATCTTATTGATAACATCATGTCACATACATATATAATATCGAATTTTGAATGGTAATATTTATTTATACACATAAAATATAGACATAATATCCCTGTGATCGGCTTATTTAAGTTGGTACATTGAGGCTGTTCGGAAAATAATGTTCAATTTTAGAATAAAACTTTTAATTGTGTTATAATATATATGGTTGTTCGGAAAATAATTTCCGATTTTAGAATCAACTTACATTCCTGAATTAATGTATTTAAACAGTGTTAAAAATCAAAGTAGGAACCCTGGAACTCTATTCATTTCTACCATCGAGTTACAATTTATACATTGCGATAAAATTCTAACGGATTGAATGCCAAGAAATCTTTGAATGTAGTTTCTTCATCTTCTTTGCAACGGAATGACTTTTGGATTATAAAATTGTCGAGATGCTTGTAAAAGAGGTAGTCAGGGGCAATATCGTGGTTTTGGGAAAGTCTCGTACACCAAGTCGGTGAGCTTCAGCAGTGTCATCCTGTTAACATAAAGCAGAATAGAACCTCGTTGACTAACCAGTTACCGTTGTATTTTGTTTAACTCTATGTGTATTTCATACAGTTTCTGACAGTAAAAATTGGCAGTGATGCTCTGGTTTATTTCAAGAAAGTTGTAATGGGTGACGACAATGACGAAGCACTGGAACTTGAAACCAGCGCCGTACTCTCCGGTCGCAAAAGAATTCTCCACTTCATTATAACTAAGATTGAACTCAAGTAAGATAAACGCATCTCTTCTTTTTTCATGTTCAAGATGAGGGGTATGTAATGTTTTAAGTTAAATTCTGAAAGTGATTTATATAAAATTAACAAAGAGGACACTTTAATCATTAGGAATAAATCATATATTTTTGTGCAAATATTATAATAATATATAAAGACAGAATTAAAAATGTTTATTCTAAAATCAGACATTATTTTCCGAACAACCTAATAAGGTAATTTCTGAAAAAGATTTATATAAATATTAGGTTGGTGCAAAAATAATGACGTAATAATGTCGTTTTTTGACGTTAAAAAATACGTCCAAAAACGACATTATTACGTCATTATTTTTGCACCAACCTAATACTAGCAGCATGGCCCGGCGTTGCCTGTGCTTGATTCAAAAATCGTACGACTCATACAGCAATCGCTATCACTTGACCTAAAATATTTTTGCCCTTCTTTGCCTTTAAAGGAGTGCCCTTTGGCGTGCTGATGTTGCTACATGCCTTACTTCTTGCCTATCTCACACTGCGAATTTTTTCTAAGTTCTATACTAAACATTAAATCTGTTACGAAAAAAGAACTAAACAAAATGAACACAAAACGATTAGCTTTAAAAAAGGAATCGTAACTGGAAAAACCGAATGAAAAAAGAATGTTAACAACAAATACTTTTCACACCCAACCCAGTTCTGCGGAATCATAATCAACGTTGAGTTTAAGCAAGCGAATGAGCCAATTAGAGTAAAGTGCTATGCAGATTTAAATTTTTCCCACTTGTGACGAATGCAGCTATCGATTTTTTTGCATGCTAGCATGCTAGTTAACATTCGTGTCAGTCAGCTGTTGGCCCTCACGCTGGCCAATAGAATCTTCCTGCCTATTTATGACAGCCAGCTGTAGGCTCTCACTCCAGTGCAAACTACATGAAAACTGCTGTAGAAGCGTGAAAAAATCGATTATTTCCACTATCGATGGGAGTTGGGAAATGCAAAGTCGGTCTTGGCCTGCTCGCTAACTTGGAGCATGTGCATGTAAATTTTGGTGCAAATCCGTCGAAAATTGCGGCCGTGCATTCGTTACACACACACACACACACACACACACACACACACACACACACACACACACACACATTCTGCCTTTTATAGATAGAGATGAATAAAGGGAACACTTTAATAATTAGGAACGAGTAATGAATTTTTGGCGGCACAGTAGAGTAATCGATAGCGGCTCGGATTGAGGAATTGGAGAGCCGAGTTCGGATTGCAGTTGAGTCAATTACATTCATTTACGCGCTAATACCCTTGGGAAAATAGGAATCTTCTCTCCCCCAGCTATGGGTAAATAGCAGGACAAAATGGGTTGGCAACTGGTCTAACGCAAAAAGAAAATGGCAACTTACTACGGGAAAAATCTGTCTCGTCAGTCATTTATCGAAAGATACATGATCGCCTAAGCGTGTATCACGTATGGCACATAACTGACTGAATATACTTTTGTGCAACTATTATAATAATATATTAGAACACAATTATAAAGTTTATTTTAAAGTCGAACATTATGTTTCGAACAATCTAATACATTATATGGCAAGCTTTAAATTTAACTTAAATAACCCCCACCAAAAAAAAAAAA